TGGTACCCATAATGTGATAAATATAACAAACACACACACACACACACACACACACACACACACACACACACACACACGTATGGGGCCATTCCACAGGCGTAATGTTTTTTTTTTATATAAATACAAATTGTATTTTCCTCACCCGAACCCTACCCCTCACACAAAACTTTCTGCATTTTTACATTTTCAAAAAAGATCATTCTGTATGATTTATATGCTTTTTTCCTCATGGGGACCAAAAATAAATAAATTACTGGTATTATTATCCTTGTGGGGACATTTGGACCCCATAACTTAGGAAATACCAGGTACACACACACACACACACACACACACTGACAAGGCTTACTGTAAGCGTGTTTGTTGGCTTTGTTTGCCTTGCTTTTGTTGGTGGGTGAGGCCAGTGTTAATAAATTCTGCAGACAAATGTGAGTCTTCCGGTACTTTTTTCTGAAAGCTACAATATGTAAGATTTTCTGTTATGTACAACATATATACATACATGCATACATACATACATAAAACCCCACAGTCAATAACGCTATAGCCAGTATGTGTTCTGCACATAAGCACTCTGGTATCAAGAGAAAATGCAATTTAAACAAAACGAATTTATTAATGTTATTATTATTATTATTATATGGGGAGAGTTATTTGGTTTTATTAAAAACGGAAATCATGTTTTTGATTAATGACACTCTCGTTTCACCTTTTTCAGTGTAGCCTGTAACAGGTATGATAGTGCGACTCGTGATGTTTAACATCATTTAATCTAGTAGAGCACTAAGAAGATACGATGGCATGACTGTGTATGGGCTTCATTTATTATGCGGCGTAAGTCTGGCAGCTATAGCCTACTTGAATAAACACGAATATCCTCATGAGATATAAAGAACCGTGCTGCAAGCACTTGATGGATTCTGTAGGTTCATACTCTGACTTCAAAACGCTTCACTGTCTTGCAAACTAATTGGTTATATGCTGCGAGGTCCACAGTGCGTCACGACGCAATCCAACTCTCAGTGTTATCCCCTTCTCCCTCTCTCTCTCTCCGCTCACTCGCGCGGTGTCAGTCATCCGCGATGCTGGAGAGAGAGCCCGGGTCCGAGCGAAACATGTCTGGGATCACCGCTAAAGACGCTTGCAATGACTGTTTAACATCAGCGCAGCATCTGAACTCCACGGACATTTACTCCCATTCGCATATTGATGAAGATGATGAACTTCTCAAGTACATCTGGAGGGAATATTTGCATCCTAAACAATATGAATGGGTGCTCATAGCTGGATATATCATAGTTTTCCTTGTCTCTCTGGTCGGAAACACCTTGGGTAAGTAAGTTTGAAACGCGTAAGCTAAGTAACTCCGTTTTTTTTCTTTCCAGCAATTGCTTTGAAATGTTTTACTGTCTACAGGTTTGTCCATCATGTTTGCTACATTGTTTTGCGCATGGGATCATATTATTATAATTTCTCTTCGCTGCTTAAAAAACAGTGATATTCATTATGCGTAGCCTACAACTAGTGAGTTCAGATCTTTAAAGTAATTAACGCTCCTAATGAATTTTAATTGGGCTGCACTTATTTATTTAGATTATTTGCAGTTTCTGCTAATTTTAGATTTAAGAATATTTGCATCCTCACATGCACACATTATGGACCATAAATGCATCTACAGTTTTAACAAAATGTCAAGCCTTCAGCTTTCTTTCTTCCTTGACATTAAATTATATATATATATATATATATATATATATATATATACACGGACATTTACTCCCATTCGCATATTGATGAAGATGATGAACTTCTCAAGTACATCTGGAGGGAATATTTGCATCCTAAACAATATGAATGGGTGCTCATAGCTGGATATATCATAGTTTTCCTTGTCTCTCTGGTCGGAAACACCTTGGGTAAGTAAGTTTGAAACGCGTAAGCTAAGTAACTCCGTTTTTTTTTCTTTCCAGCAATTGCTTTGAAATGTTTTACTGTCTACAGGTTTGTCCATCATGTTTGCTACATTGTTTTGCGCATGGGATCATATTATTATAATTTCTCTTCGCTGCTTAAAAAACAGTGATATTCATTATGCGTAGCCTACAACTAGTGAGTTCAGATCTTTAAAGTAATTAACGCTCCTAATGAATTTTAATTGGGCTGCACTTATTTATTTAGATTATTTGCAGTTTCTGCTAATTTTAGATTTAAGAATATTTGCATCCTCACATGCACACATTATGGACCATAAATGCGTCTACAGTTTTAACAAAATGTCAAGCCTTCAGCTTTCTTTCTTCCTTGACATTAAATTATATATATATTAAACATATATATATATATATACTGTATATATCCTCAGGCAAATCAAATCAAGTGCCACATTGCTCTTTTACCCCATGCTACATGTGATGGATTTGTGGAATTTTGGTTGAAAGACAATATGAATGTAATGCTGTGCTTTAAATTATTTTGTATTCCACTGAGGATGGCTCATCATTTTCTCAATGCAAATGTTGACATTTTAAGTTTTCTCAAGAAATTTAGAAATACGATGAACGCCCCAGTGATCTGAATATCCGAGGTAATTGGTTAATTTTGGCATATTTTGGCATTTCCCTAGAAATGTTACTTGAATTAGAATTTTTTATTCACATCTTTCATGTGCTATTCTCTTTAAAGGTGCAGTGAGTGTTTTTTTTTTCTCAATCAAACAGAATTGCAGTCTACCTCAATCAATGAGTTTTGGACCTGTCGTCCAACAAACAGGACGGTTTGAAACAACACAGTTCACTTTAAAGGAATGTTTGGCACACAAAAGTCATTATATACTCACCCTCATGTTGATCGAAACTTGCTGTTATTTTTTTTCTGTTGAACATAAAATATTTTTTTGTGACAAAAATGACAAAAGGCACCATAACCATATAGTACAAGGCTAAATTCGGGCTAAAATTCAAGTCTAAAGTCTTCTGAAGCTGTGTGATTTCTTTGTGTGAGACTAAAAGTCATTATTTGGTGGTAATATTTCCCTTCGGATTACATCTAAATTAACTGGTTTTATTTAAGCCAAAAATAGAATTTACCTTCACTGAATCAACATATTTGAAAATTTATACGAACAAAAGTAAATTGTATGGGTTAAATCAGGTAGAAATAGCTCTTTAATGTATAAATGCAGATTACCACTTTTTAAAGTGTACACAAAAAGCTACATAAAGATTATTTTTGTATACAGTAGCATGGAGAAAATAACAGCATATGTGTTCAGAATGACGTGCGTGGGTTCAGTATGACATAATTTTCATTCTGAGATTAGCTATTCCCTTACATTTGCGCTGATATGAGATGAGTCATATCCCTATGATATAGCAGTTGAACAAATGTGTTTTCAATATGGACAAACTGTTCTATACAATGAACTTTATATGAAAAGATATGAACATTTTCCTTTTAAATTATTTTACTTTACATCCTGAAATGCTCTACTGTATTAACAAAAGTGAAAGGTTTCACTTAAATGTTATTAACCTCTAAATTAGCTGGTTTTACTGAAGTCAGAAATGTCATTTAATTTAATTGTCTGAATCTAAGTGAATAGTCCAGGCTACACCAATGAAAGTCCTATATATATATATATATATATATATATATATATATATTAACCGTATCTGAACACCTCCAGTTTTTACAGTGTGCAAGGCTACTTGCACTGTTTATGCACTGTTTATGCATGCACGCACACACACACCTAAATTTAAATACTAAAAACAGTAGCACAAAATACACCATTAAGCAGGTATACGTAAAGTGTGCACATACCTTTAATTTTGCTCCTTTAGATAGACACTGATAAATTAAAAGCTAATGATAACTAAGATTTAAGTTCTTTAAGATATGTTAGGCTACCAGGTGTGTACTGGCCAACGGGAGTACCTGGACATTCCCGGTGGGCCGGAGCAGTGGTCCGATCGCCGAAGCGAGATACTTCATCCATATTAGGCGCTGTTTTTACATTACAACACATGCGAAACTGCAAAAAGCAAATACTCCAAAAGTGTGAAGCGGTGCTACCCCATCATCCGCCAGCAGCGCGCAAAAGCGGAGCGGGGTCAGTCACCCGCACAGCGCTGATGAACATATGCTGCTTCCGTCACGATGTGATAAACAGTGCAAGTCTCTTGAATCATTCAGATGTGACACAGAACTGTGTTATACAGTCGTGTGATGAGAGAACATTGAAGGTTCTGTAGTGATTGTGAGTGCTTGAAATGGGAAAAAGAAGATAAATTCAAATTGAACGTTTGGAGTTGGGATCAGTGAAGCACTTGACCAAACTTTCCGTGTTTTAACTGCCATCTACAGGAAACACGACAGTACTGTCCGAGTGCACGCGAGGCTGGGGTAGTCTCCACTCCAGCCGGGTGGGTCAGAATTGGGCGCAACACTGATACTCAGCCCCCCCCTTTTTATTTATTTATTCACAGTGTATGTATACTGCCACAAACAATCAATCAATCAATAATTAAATTAACGTTTTCAATACAAATAAGCACAAGTCAAGCTGCGATACCAAACAGGACCACAGGGAGATGCCAAAGATCACTAAAGCTCCTGCCTTGACCTGACTACTATTATGTGGATCCATTCAGAATCACTAAATCATGACCACCGCATAATCTAAAACACTTTTAGCCAGAATCCATTATAAACACTTTTGCCAAATACACGCTAAAAAATCAATCATTTACTGACATCTGGACGTAAGTCATATTCTCTCCGCCGTCTCTGATGAAATTGGCCATGTTTTCTCTGCATTAGCGCTGTTTGAACTTACTGTTTGAATTCGCTTAATGGATCCTTGGACTTTCCGGGAGTTTACAGGTTTAAAATGATGTGATCAAAAACCTACTTCTTTTCATTTTTAAGGTATTGTTTTCGTTATAATGTACTGATTCAAATTAGTAACCGACCTGCTCTCTTGCCCCACACATTGAAAACCCCTGCGGTAGACCGGCTCCGCTTGCATTCATTCACGTGATTTGTCGAGATGAGAGGTAATGGTGCCCCCTCCTGGGTAGTGTGCAGTGGCGGCTGGTGTTAAAAATTTTGGGGGTTTTGCAAACAAACAGAATCACACTGTTAATGCAGGCAGCAGGACTGAATGCAATTGTTAAATAACCATTTAAAAAGTGACATAATAATGTATCATTATAAGATACCCCATATCATATACATACCACATATCATAGATCATAATAAGATACCACATATCAGTGAATTTGAGTTTAATGTGGGTGTATTATCAGTAAAGTAAGTAATCATTAAACGTGTAATCATTGGGAAAAAAATCAGCCATTTATACTAATGTGATTCAGAGATGAAGGCCATAATACTAATGTTGTCCACATGAGGGGGCCACAGGATATCAAATCCTATAAGATCTCAGTTTAAAGTCTGTGAAAATTGTTCAATAAATTGACTTGTAGTAAAATGGCATATAAATTCATTATATTTTCATAAAGTTTATTAAAGCCCAATAGAACAAGTATGCAAAAACTGCGATCTCCTAAATCATTTTTTTTCTTAATTTGAATGGTATTGACAACATATTTGTCAAGCTGTCAGACATGACTGAATGTATGTCCAATTGAAGAATGGACACTATATTATTTATCTATTTTAATATTGTGCATACAGTAATACTCCAATAAAGACTCATATTTTACTTGGAAAGAGACATGTCCATTAGAAAACTATATCATCTACACAAGCCATTGTGCTTGGACCACAATGACCGCCTCAAGTTAAATTGCATTGTTTCAGTACCTTCTGTGTCGTTGCCCACAATGGTTCGGTAACAGGACTTTCAAATAACAAAACAATAAAAGGCATGACTTACATCACATCCAGCTAGCCAACTCCGTCCAAGCTCCATGATCCGTATTTTTCTTCTTCTTCTTCTTCTTCATTTAAATGCCTTGTTAAAGGATTTTTTGTAAAGATACAATCGAATTTACTTTCATCTCGGAAGAGATATTCAATCACATGAGGCCAAAATATATAAAAACAATACTAATTCGCTAAAATCAAAAGTGGGAGGGACAATCTGAAACATGCCATTTAGAGCTCAGCCTCAAGTCACATGCATTTCAAAAGTTTACGGACCTAATAGACACCCATCTGTCCGGCGCCCCGCATACACAAAACAAACGAAATAGTTTTTTTTTTAGTTTTTTTAATAGATGCTAACATGACTGCCAGTCGAATATTATGACTAAATAATGCAATTTCGTGATTATTTTTTTATATTTAACTTATTTTTAACATGT